TGTTTCGGGGCTGTTTTGCATCATATTTTGGTACTGAAATTTGCATACTTGTATGCCATATTTCATGCCTTGCCATGTCTTGTTAGAGTGGCATTTTGTGCCTTAGGATCGGTCTTCGGTTTGCGTGCATGCATGCACGCATCTCGAGTTGTCTCATTTTCATCATATGGCCTCTTATGTGAGTGTGGCTGAGGTCCACTCATGTTAGTGTAAAGTCCATTGTGCATTGAGTATGCCATTTCATAGCATTGCGTATGCTAGGTTGTATGTTAGCGCATTGTGTATGCCATGTTATCTCGTGCATCGTGTATGCCATCTCATAGCACTGTGCATGCTAGGTTGTATATTAGTTGCATTCACTCATGTCATGCATATTACATTGTGCTTGGGATAGGAGTTAGCCCGAGCACGGGAAACGAGGGACGTTTCGTACTTCGAGTGACGGAACGCGTCTTAATTCCCAGTCACCGACACTCCGGATTTCCATGATAGAGTTTAGGTTTCGTTGTGTTTATGTGTGCATTCATTCCATATTGAGTCATGCAAATCGACTCCTCGGCCATCATGCATCGATTATGAGCGATTGTGGTGCACGAGGATCGAGGACTACACTCCCTGAAGAGTAGTCACGCATACATATGTGAAAATACATTGCCATGCCCCTTCCTGCTCTCTGTTGCAGCAAATCAAGAATCAGCAATCTTCCGGGGCTTGGCGCGCTTTCCAAGAAATCATCGCAAACAGAGGCTAATTGGGGCATCGCAGTAGATTTCCGTACCAAGCAACCCGAGCATGCATCATTCATCATCCGGAGCGGAGTCGAGGGCAGTCCCTAGCTTGCATGCTAGTTTACAGCTTTCTCAGTTAAATTTGTAAATTAATTAGGATTTTGTAATTATTTGGGCTGTAATTATTTGGGACTGTTATATATTTTATTCGGACCCTCTGCGCGAGGGCAATGTTGTAATAAGTGTGTGCGTGTGTGATGTATGTCTTCCAACCCTACGTCTTTCTCCCTTTTATTACCCGCTTATGATGGTTAGATTAGGGCATGTTTCAGTTAGCATACAGTATGACAGCATGTTTGCATTCATTCATCTGTTTTGCATGCATCGGGCTCGGTGTATCATACTAACTGCATTGTATTTTCAATTCCAAGTTGAATACATGTTAGCTGTAGCATTCATATGCCATGTTTAGAATAGCCGAGCCTGCTATAGTTGCATTTTTGCATGTGTTGCATTAGGCATTCTTTATAGTTAGGATCATGCATGGTTTCTAACCTAGCTTCTGTTTTGGCTTGGAGTACTCGGTAAGTTTTAGCTTTAGCATCCTTGCATGCGTGTGAGTGACTGCCATGAATAGCATGCTTACCATGAGGCTATGTGCTTTATGTGATATAACTGCCTAAATGCTGTGGGTGAATGTTGGGTTATTTGGATTGGAACAATTCATCAAATGTGTGTTTTAAGCCCACTAGATAGTAGCAAAATCATATTTTCTAAGCCCACCTGAGGGTGGCAAATCCATGTCTTAGCCTACTTGCGGGTAGCACCATCAAAAATTTTCAAACAAACAAACATGAAATGTTTTGTTCCAATTCAGGCGATCCAGTCTATACTTGTATGTGTTGCGCATCACATAGTAAATCTAGGCTAATAACCGGAATAAGAACACATAATATTTTCAAAAAATAGATATCATGGTTAGTAGAGGCCGATCTTTGATCGGGCGAGCGGGGTGCTCACGAAGTGACCTTCCCCAATCGTACCCAAGTTCCCGAGCCGAGGCAACTTTGGTGATGACGACACGTGGCCTTAGGCAAACGAGTCAGGGTTTCCTAAATTTTCCAAAATAAAATATTTAGGTGGCGACTCTGTATCTGGATGGCAAAGCAGTCCATGTTTGGCACTTCCTTCAAAAAAAATCTGTTTTCTCAAAACGATTTGCCAGATTTGGACTCTTTGGTTCAGAGGTAGAACCGTGACAATTTGTGAGTCCGAACTGTAGTGAGCCCAATATCGAACGGAACGGGGGGACTCGTTCCTCCCCGGGGCATTCAGAGGACGTCTACAGCTGGCTAGTAGTGTCATGATTGGGGTAGTATGCTGCTCGTCTGGTAGATTGTTGCTAGGTGCTGCTGCTGTTTTGGTTGATTGGTTGCAGTTGAATTGGGTGTTGTTGCTTTGTTGGTTGTTTGTTGGTTTTTCTTTCTTTTTCTTGTTTGTTTGCTTCTGATTGGTTTCTCACCAATCTTGGGCTAGTGCTAACAAATGATTGTGTTTCCTTTGTGGTGCCAACCTAGTTGGGATCGTGAAGGTTAGCTATGATGCTTTGTGCACTCCCCCGCTTTATTGATATAATTTATGCATGTTGTGTTATTATATTAATAAAGTTTTTTTTGCTGATCAAAAAAAAATTTTGAGCATCAAGACTAGAATATTGTCTTTTTTTGTATAGTTAATTTCAGTAATGGTCAATCCATCCTTGAACCAACTTTTTTATTTTGTACAGGCCTTTGAATAGGCTTTATACGTATAGATGAGATAGGTATTGTCTTTTTTTTGTATAATTAATTTCAGTGATGGTCAATCCATCCTTGAACCAACTTTTTTATTTTGTACAGGCCTTTGAACAGGCTTTATATGTATAGATGAGATAGGTATTCCTTTGCATACAGGTTGCACTCCCTTGGTGCCTCTCTAAATCTTTATTAATAATATTTCCTCATTTACCAATATATATATATATATATATAAATTACCAACATGACAAAGAAATAAAAGGAAAAACACGAAGAGAATCATATGGGCACTTTTTTTCGTTATTTTTAAAAAAAGGTTTATTCAACTATAACAAAAAATCAATCTTTAAACTATCTTGAATTTTTTTTATTTTTTTTTTTTTGCTTTTTAAATTTCATATGCTTACTAATTTTCCAAAAAAATATGGCAAATTGGGGCATTACTATAAATGATTTGCCACCTCAGACCTTATTATACAGAAATCTAACAAGAAAACAAATACAAGCTAAACTACATTTTCAGAATATGCAACTACAAAAAAATAAATAAATTAATCACTCAGCCACAGAGACAATGGGGGACTCCTTCAGCTACAGTATACCTCCATGACATTGTGAAACTGCGTGAACATTCTAAACATGAGCATCGCCAAAGTAACATTTCCCCTACACAAAATGGCAAGCCATACAAAGCAGCTTGGTAAGATATTTCAAAAGATTAAACCAAATTGGATTCCAATAAAGAAAACTCCTACCAAGATTGGCCGAAGTGTACATGGGGATAGCGAACAATCACTGGCTGGACAGGACATCCAAGGATAAATGCACGAAGTTGGAAAGAAATGAGAAATCTTCCATTTGTTGTTGTTCCCTCGGGAAATAAAAGCAAACGAAGAAATCTATTGGAAGAAGCCTTTCTCTGTATTCAGATCCTTGAAAGTACATTTCTGTATCAAATAGCTTATATATTGAAATAGCTTGTATATCAAATAGCTTATATATTGTATAGAAACACTGAAAACGAAGACACAAACAATAGAATTCAAACATTCTACCCCCATCAAGTCTCTTCCATGTCATCAACCATGATTTAGTGGCTGTCTTGTATATATATAACTATGAACCATCAAATTTAGTTGCAATTTACCTATATATTCCATTTACAACATATTTTTGCATGCTTCCCACAAAAAATAAAATAAAATAAAATAAAAATTTTAAAAAATAAAAAAAATAAAAAGATTATTGAGGAAGCATAGTGCTGCAAAATATACATCAGGATATGATATTGCAGTATTATTCTTGGACCATATCCAATGACATAGATACATAGATACATAGATAGATTAAAGTTGCAATGAGCAAAATGCTGCACTCAATATAAAGCACATTATTGCTTGAGCAAGGCCAAAATACTTCAGTGGCAGCAACAATTTTACAGTTAGACGTACAAAATATATGTAAATGACTACGATCATAAATATGTAGATATATATATGCTGCACAATTGCAAGTTGCTGTTTACTTCTGAGGCGAAGCACGCTTGATTCTCCCTTCTGGGGGTCCGATAAACAGATCAGTCTCTACATCTGAAATCTCACTACTTTCTGTGTATGGCACAACTTCTCTCTCTTCGTTTGATTCTTGTCGCGGTAATAAGCCATACTAGAAAAAATAAATACACGTCTATAAGACTGATGTGGTTGCAAAATTTACACTTAATTTGTTTTGTCAAAAACTTCAAAAAACATTTTCTTATATTTAAATGCGACTCTAAAAAATGTGTTAGTGGTTTTGCCATACCATATGGATCACAACCTTGGAATATAGTAAAACCCCAAATTATAAAGCAAACCAATTCGCATAATAATACTAGAAGATATATTACAATATCAAAATAAACATATCGTATAATTAAATCACATCGCGTTGCATGTAAAGTACAAACAACAAACAATCAAAATTTGGGTAATCACAAAATAATAAAGATCATATTTAGCATTAAACTAAAAAAAAAAAATCAAGAAATATTTTAAAAAATAATAATAAAGGTAACAATAGAAATAAAGCCCAAATAGGGGGAAAGAGAGAATCACCTTCTCACAAAGCTTTGCATTTTCAGCTGTTAGGACTTTCTCCTAAATTAAATTGAAGCCAAAAGACATACACCATCAGCAGTTAGTGAGATAATTGAAGTAAAATGGTATTTACAAACTAAAGTCAAATTTTTAAATAATTATTTTATATTTTTAGAGTAAATGGTATTTACAAACTAATATACAGCATGTTATCCATAAAATGGAAGTCTTATGGAATTTAGTAGCTTGACTATTTATGCATATTTGTTGGGTGCATATCCGACTAGAAATGTCATCGGACACATAATCAGCTCACTAGAAATTTTGAAGCAGTTGTAAAAAATGACTTTAGTGGAAAAACGTGCTACACTCAACCTAATATCACAAATTTTAATAGTTTACCTTTTCCTTAAGTTGATCAACCTGTTCCATGAAAGCCTCCATCTGAAGCACAGACAATAAACAAAGAAATTAGACTTCCAAGTAATTACAAAATTTTAGGAAATAATTACATTTTGTACTACATAATAATAACAACCTTTTTAGCCCGGACTCTGCTTACACTCCGCTCCAACTGTTGTTCAATTTGCTGCAGTTCTTCCATGGTGCATGACCCCAGATCCTCTCCCAAGAGTTTCCTAATACATATTTTCCAATTTCAGAGTTTAGAAGTGCTTCAAATTTAAAATTAAAAAAAAAAAAGTTTATATGTTTATATGTTTAGTGTGCCAAACAAATTCGAACTAGCTAGGCCTTCCATCCAACCTTTTCGCAACTTCAAGAAGCTCTATCTGCTTTGCCATGTCTGCTGCCTCATGCTTCAAATGCTGCCAGAAGATTAATTGGTTCCCACAAGAGGATGGACAAAAAGGAGAGAGAGAGTTGCTTCATTAATAATGCTCTACCAAAGGGAGGAAAGAACAAACGAACAAACACAACATGAAAACATTTGTTAGCTACAAAACAAATTGTTGGACAGTGGAAGCGTAACATAAAAAAACATGTTAGCGTACATAAGAATCTATGGAGATATATGGCTATAGAAACCGAGCAGAGCTCCTTTGAGAAATCAGAATAACTCTTGCTTCATATAACATTCTAGATACATATTTCAGAATCACACTCTTAAAAGAACTTTTCATATTCGTATGCAATTTTATTAACTACTTTCATGCTTTTACTAACATCTAAATGTACCATAAAACTTTTAGAAGATTGTCGATTATTTTTTCCAACATAAAATCAGGTTTCCCCAGGGAAGGCAGCAAAAATGCCTTAATAGAATGACATCAACCATGTGATTTGATGAATATAGAGCGACAAAATTAAGCTATATTTATGTGTCTTAATATATATATATATATTTTTTTTTTTTTTTATCAACAAAGAAAAATTTCATTTAACATGAAATTAAAGGTACAGGAAGATGACATGCATCGAGAGATGAATAAAAATAGATGAAGTTACATATATGTGTCTTAATATAAGTACTGAAGTTACATGATGTAAAAATAGATGAATAAATAAATAAAATTATTCCAGTTAATTATCTAAAATTGTCGACAATTGTGAAGAGGAAGTTAGTATAATCACACAGAGAGAGAGAGGGGTATAACCTGCATGTTTTCTTCCACTGATGAGTTGTCAGTTTGAACATCTTTTGTATGCCTCTGATAGCGCTGTATCGTCTCCTGCATGCTGAGTAATATCAAAATTGAACACAACACAAATGAAGTCACTCCATTGTCCCTTTTTACCCTCAATTATCAAATAACAAAAAGAATTAACTCAAAAGAGTTAAAACCATAAGGATGATAATAAAGATGAAAAGAATATATATATATATATTTTTTGATGAATATGACGTTAAAGAAATGGCCAATGCAGCATAATGCCAATAACCAAGTCATTGAATTACTCAGTTTTTATGAATTTGAGAATGTTTCTTCAATCAAATTTGTCATGCTATTCAAAGTGTTATGCAAAAAATACACGGTTCCAATTAAAAAACAATAAACAGAAACAAATAATTACACTAAATACAAGATATATGTGGTTTGGCAATGTGTCTAAGTCTACAAAGGGGAGGAGATCAAATCCACTATGCATGATAAAGATTACAGAAATTTGAATCTCACTTCTATCACTCTACAGTGCTGTCACAATCTCACACTAAACCCTAGCTGAAAAATACAATAACAATAAATATTGCAAAAACTTCAGGCCAAGCCTGTTGCACTTGGAATCCCACCTCCTTAAAAAACCCCTTAACAGTAAATTTAAGTGTATAGTAAAAATTCAAGGTACCTCACAACACAAAGTCTCCGTTATATTTTCTAAATAAAAATTTGAAGACAATCTGCAAAAACAGAAATGGAAAGATAATACAGTGAAGAATTTGACAACTGATTTTACATGCTCGCCTTTTAACCAAGGAAGAGTTATAAACTGGACTTTCATGGATCATTAAAAAAAATTATCAAAGTTTCTGAAGCACGTTACAAAATGATAAGACTCTCTCTGCAACAGTCTCTCTGCAGCAGTCCCATAAGACTCTCTCTGCACCAGATAGCTCTGCAGCAATGAAGCACGTTACAAAATAAGGTGACACTAAAGTTAGTAACTAGAAATAATGACAGATAATAAAAGTTGATACGGAGTATGCCAATAGCTTTATATAATCATGTTTATGGTTAATTTGACTTTAATATCTTATTTTTTTGTATTTCATAAGGTATAATGGTGTTGGGCATATTAAGTAGTTTTTATTACTTAGTTGTACTTGTTAAAATTAATGCCATACATTGGATACTTTGGACACATTGCATTATTTGTATTCATGTATCTAATGTTAGATATATAATATTGGATACATTGCCTAGATTATATTTATGTACCTAGTTTTTTAAGGTTGTTTAGGTTCATGGTTCTTGTTCATGTATCTTATTTATGACCCTCTCAATACAAGATCAATACAATAAAAAATAATAATTCCTCCTTGAGAAAATTCCTATCAAAAGCTAACAAAAGTTGAATCAGAGCTTGGTTGGGTCAAGAACAAGCTAGGCGTAGAGATCGGATACGGGAAAACAATCCCCAGAAAGGACAACTACCATGGCGAATTCCAACAACCAAAATGTGCCTATTCCTGCTTTTGATGGTGAAAACTTTGATTTTTGGTCTTTGAAAATGAGAAGTATTTTTTATTTATATGGACCTTTGGATCTAGTTGAAAATGGATTCGATGAACCCGAATATGAGGAGTTTTGATAAATGCTCAAAAGGGACAACTGAAAGAACAAAGGAAGAAGGATTCAAACCAACTAGGCCTAGTCTAGTTCGCCACCATGCTTTCCTTAGGGCTTAGTCCCAAGGAGGTCATGGGTTCAATTCCCCTTAAGGGGGTTGAATTAAGGGAGTGCAAGTACTTAGGTGCTTTGCTGAGGGTGGGGAGATTTTCTTCCATAGGTGCTAATTTAACAATTAACAACTAACATTTGTTGATCAAAAAAAAAAAAGAAAAAAGGAAGAAGGATTCAAAGGCTCTCTTATTGATTCAACAAGGAGTTTCAAAAGCAATCTTTTCAAGGATTATCAATTCTACAAAAGCAAAAGAGGCATGAGATATTCTTCAAAAAGAGTATAGAGGCAACTTGAAGGTAAGAACCATTAAACTTCAATAATTACAAAGAGATTTTAAAAATTTAAAGATAAGAGATATGGAATTGTTAAAAGATTTCTTTTCTAGAGTTATGATATTTGTGAATCAAATGAAAATTTATAGGGATGATATTTCTAATCAAAGAGTTCTTGAGAAATTTTGATAAATTTGTTGAAAAAATATAATCCTATTATTGTTGTCATTGAGGAAACTAAAGATCTTACTAATTTGAGTATTGAAGAATTGATGGGTTCAATTAAAACATTTGAGCAAAGGTTGAGTAACCAATTTGAAAAGTCAATTGAAAGTACTTTTCAATCCAAGCTCAATGTTGGTACTTCTAATTTCCAAGGAAGAGGAAGAGGAAGAAATACAAGAGGAAGGTATAATTCTCAAAGAAGGAAAAATGAAGAGTCCACTCACAAAAGTGTGAAATTTGTAACTGAAGCAGTCATGTTGATAAAGATTGTTGGTTTCGAGGAAAGCCACAATGTTTCAATTGCAACAAATTTGGGCATGTCAAAAAGGATTGTCAAGTCAAGACCAATCAACAAGCCAATTTCTCTGAGGAGCAAGAAAGTGAAGGGCACATGTTCTATGCTTGTCTTTCGGCATTGGAACAAAAGAATGATGCATGGTTTCTTGATAGTGGATGTAGTAATCACATGACCATAGATGAGAGCATTTTTGTGAAGATGGATGCTTCCTTCAGTTCTCAAGTAAAAATGGGGAATGACTCCTTAGTCCAAACAAAAAGAAATGGTACTATTGCCGTAGAGACCAAGATGGGTACCAAATACATCTCCGATGTTTTCCTAGTTCCAAATTTGGAGCAAATTTGATGAGTATTAAATAACTCATGGAGCGTGGGTACTTTGTTCATTTTAAAGAAGACTCTTGCAAGATTTATGAAAAATGGAGAAGAAGTCAAGTTGTTACAAAAATCAAGATGGAGAAGAATAGAAGTTTTCCTCCTATTTTTGATATAACAAAAATGTGGCCTTGAAGATGGATGTGGTTGATAATTCATGGTTTTGGCATAGAAGATTTGGGCACTTGAATTTTCAAAGTTTAAAGAACCTACAACAAAAGAATATCGTTTTTGCGTTGCCGACTATTTTAGAAGTGCAACAAGTTTGTGAATGTTGTGCTCTTGGGAAGCATCACTGGGAGTCATTTCCAAAGAAGAAAGCATAGAGAGCAAAAGAACCAATAGGACTTGTTCCTATGAAGCACATATACTTCAAAAAAGGTATTGTATGAGTGTCAGATACTATCAGATGTAGATACGAGTTCGATATGGCAAGATACGTATTGGATATGACAAATAAGTATCCGATTTATTTTTTAAAATTTTGGATATAGGAGAGATACATGAAGGATACTTGAGAGATACGACAGGATACGTGAGGGATACACAAGGGATATGCCAAATAAGGACCCAAATTAAGTTTTTTCTAATTTTTTATATTTTATATTTTAACACGCCAAATGAGTATCTAATTTTTTTTTTCAATTTTTTTCTTATTTTATATTTATATTTTTTCAAAGGTCAATGCTCTCTCCTTGTTTCTTCCTCTCTTTCTATGTCTCTTCATATTCTATGGGGCTTATATTGTCATTATTTATTCCCTTGTGATAAACCAATTTCTACCTTGTTAGCTTTGCTATAAGGGCTACTCACTCATGTGTCAAAAAAATCACATTGTTTCTATTTTTTAATTTCTTTTTATTGTTGTTTTATTTAATTTTTAAATTTTAGATATTATGACTAAGTGCTATTGTAATTATTACTTAATTTTGTTAGCTTATTGTTGTTCTTTAAATTTCCTTGAATATTTGATCGAATGCTCTGTTATTGTTTGTTGTTAATTCTTTGTCAGTATGCCTAGTTATTAACTGATTGCTCTTTGATGAAAATAAAATTCTCTTTTTGATATTGAGGAATTTAGTACTAAATATTTTATGAATGTACTCTTGCATTATGTTTTATTTTATAAATACTACATTACTAAAAATTATTTTATATTTTTTTTTACAAACATATCATCACCATACCCGCATCACACTTTTTTAAGGTTTGCCGTATCGTCATATCCATATCGTATTGTACTTGTATCCTGTATCCGTATCTGTATCCATGCTTCCTAGACTTGTTCATACGGATGTTGTTCTGGCCCATGAATACACCAACTTATGGAGGTAACAAGAACTTTATCATTTACTAGAACAACTTGGGTGTATTTTATGAGATAAGAGCGAAGTTTTCTCTATCTTAAAAAAATTCAAAGTCTTGTGGAAAGGCAAAGTAGTTACTTAATGAAAGTTTTGAAAAGTGATAGACGCAAATAATACAACTCAAATGAATTTATGAAATTTTGTGAGGATATTGACATGAAAAAGGCAACTTCCCATTGGGTACACTCCACAACAAAATAGAGTGGCAGAAAGGAAGAATAAAACCATAGTGGAGATGTCCAAATCTATGCTACATGAAAAGGAGATACCCAAAACTTTTTGGGGCTGAGGCTGTGTATACGGCGGTTTACTTGATAAATGGACGTCCTACAAAAGCTCTTGAAAACTAAACTCCATTTGGGGCTTGGAGTAGAATGAAGCCATCGGTGAATCACTTGAAGGTGTTTGGTTGCATTTGTTATGCTCATGTCCTAAAAGAAGCAAGACATAAGTTGGATGAAACTAGTAAAAAATGCATCTTTATGAGTTATAGCTCAAAATCTAAAGGCTATAGACTATATAGTTTGGACAAGAAGAAAGTGATTATTTCTAGAGATGTTCTCTTTGGTGAGAATGCATCTTTTGCTTGGAAATAAAAGAAAGGTCAAAATCAAGGCATTATTTCCAATGAAAATTCAAAAAGTCAACAAATTGAAGATGTTGAAGCATTTGGATCTCCACAAAGATTGTCACCCATTGCTAGTTCACAATCTTCTCCAACTTTGAGTTCAAGTTCTTCATCTTAAAGCTCAACTCCAAGAAGAATGAGGAATGTAAATGATGTGTATGCAAGATGCAA